CTCCGCGGCCGCCGGCCGCTGCCCCCGACTACAGAGCCAGGCGGCCGGGCCCCGGACGGTGGGGACGGCTTTGAGGGCCGGAGATTTGGACTGGTGATGAAGAATGATGGCCACGCCAGGGTGGCACAGCCCAACATACCCGGGTGTCTGGTAGAGCCGTAGGGCGCACCATCCGTGGCCTGAGGAGAAGCAGCACCCCACTGCTCCATCCGAGCCCGCTGCCCACTGCCCAGACCAAAGGGTTTGGAAGGACCATTGAGGACTTGCTGTCACGCCCACTGGCCACTAGATGGCACCATTGAAACGCAGGGCGCAGGGCCGCTGGGCGTCCACCCAGGAGAGAGGCCCACGCGGCCGGCTCCCCGGCCGGCTCCCCGGCCTCAAAGGTCTGAGAAGCCTGGGACGTCCTGACTCGCTGTTGCTACCAGCTGCACACCCCTGTGAGCTCCAGGTCCCCACAAAACCAGGGCCTGGACCCACAGGCGTGGTGAGCCAGCCCCAGTAACAGCCTCAGGGAACCCCGGGGCTTCTCAGGCTTGGGGGCCCCACCCCATCCGCAAGCCTGAGTCGTGGGCTCCTGTTAGGGGCCGCTGTGGGGTGCAGAGGCACCCATGGAAGCTCTGGGGCCCTTGCCGCCCTGTGACCAGCCCCCCTGGGGAGGGGTATGGCGGGGAGGGGTCCACACAGGGGCCCTTGTCATTGAAGACAGGGCTCCGCTGGCCCGAGGGGCCTGCGGCCTTCTCAGTGGTGCCCCGTTGTTTCCAACAAACCCTGACCCCAGCCTCCCTCACAAAGACCACATGCCCCAAGGCGCCATCCCTGTGGCCAGTCCAGGCCTTTCCTGTCCTGCCTGGTTTCTGGAAAGAGAGAGCCCTGGCCAGGCTTCTCCCCGCCCCGGCCGCTTCCCCGCCGTGCCCAGGAGGGCCCTTCCTGCGCCCAGATGCCCGCCCCACTCCTGTGCTCGGTCACCCTGCGGGCCCTGTCCACGCCGCCCCGGCTGCTGTGTCCTCCGCCCACCCAGTCTCCCTGTCAGCAGTTTGGGCCCCACCCCGGCCTCCCC